TCTGCTCTGAACATACCCAACATGATCAACCATGGGCCTTGAGGCCAGAGTTAGGCTCCAAATTCACAAGTCTGCTCAAATCACTTCTCTACTCGAAAACTTGAAATGGCTCCTCTTTGCCCACTAAAGTGACATCCAATTTACTTAATATGGCATTCAAGGCCCTTCACAACATTGTTCCAATGTATTTATAATATCATAGGTTTAGACCTGGAATAGGCCTTGTTGGTGTTACTGGTCAGTTGAATCTAATTCTTCATGACTCCATTTGAGGTTTTTTTGGAAAAGATACTGGAGTGGTTTGCCATTTCCTTCTCCAGCTCATTTTACAGGTAAAGAAACTGAGGCAAACAGGGTTAAGTGACTTGCCTGGGGTCACACAGCTAGTAAATGTCTGAGGCTGGATTTGAACTCAGGTCTTCCTGACTCCAGGATTGACTTTCTAGCCACTGTACCATCCAGCTGCCCTGGAATAGGCCTTAGGGATCATCTAATCCAACACAGTGGCTAGAATGCCAGGCCTGGAGTCTGGAAGATTTATCATTGTGAGTTCAAATCTGGTCTCAGACACTTACTAGCTGTGTGACCCTGGGCAAGTCACTTAACCCTGTTTGCCTCAGTTTCCTCATCTGTAAAATGAACTGGAGAAGGGAATGGTAAATCACTCCAGTATTTTTGCCAAGAAAAGCCCAAATGGGGTCGTGGAGAATGGGACACCACTGAAATGACTGAACAGCAATGATAATATACCTAATTTTTTATGAATGAGGAAATGAAAGCCAAGAGGAAGTAACTAAGATTACACAGGTAGTCAAAGGCTAGGATTCAAACCAAGGTTCTCTGATACTAAAGCCAGTGTTTACCACACCCCATCACACTGCCACTCTAGCCTTAGCTCACACTGCTACCCTTCACAAACTGAACTACTCACAAGTCTCCTAAAGACACACCTTTTCCCACCTCCTTGTCCTTTTTTCTATTGCCCTATGTGCCAGAAATGGATTCCTCTCCCATCTCTGCCTACTAGAGTTTTCCCATACTTCAATCTTTGCTGTTCCAACTCATGTGCCATCTTATCCAGGGGAGCTTCCATAAACAGGATCTTCCATAGCATTTTATCCATATTCTCTCCTATGTATTTTTATTTGTATTTTTACTAGACCTGTGATTTTATTAGTGTAGGGAGTTTCTGGTGAGGTAAGAGAGTTGCCTGGGGACACTAAGTTAAGTGACTTGCCCAGGGTCACATAGCCAATATGTGTCAGAGGGAAATCAGCTCTTTCTGTCTCCAAGGCCATCTACCTACCCATTACCTTACACTTTCCCTTATATACTTCTTACTTTCTTATTTGCATTACATTTATTCAGGTTGGGGTTTTCTCCTCAACTAGACCAGAAGCTCCTCAAGGGCAAAGATGATGTTACAAGGTTGTCATGAGTAGAAAGCTTCATAAAACATTCTTCTGAAAGTCCTACAGAAATGGGAATTTGTGATTTACCTTCATATCTGCCATGCCCAGCACAGTCCCTTTCATAAGGAAGTCATTCAATAAACATTTGCTGATTTGATTTGAAAAAAGATGAAGTCAGCACTCCAAAGAAACAAAATAAGAGAGTTCATTGGGTATCTACTCACATCCAGAACTTGGTATACAAGGGAATTACGCATAAAATCACTCAGTATTTATGTTTGACATAGTTGTTCTTAGCCTTTGGAGGAAGAGAGATAGAAGGCAAGGTCACAGATAAAGCTATGTAGAATCAGAAAGAGAATGTAGCGGATAGGCCGGCTAGTCACCAAAACTCTAGCCTTTCCCTAGAAAAGGTCAAGTCCTTCCTTCTCCCCCTGGTGACTTCTACTCTTTAGAGGTTAGAGTTATGATTAACAGAGGGTTCTCTGAGGAAGAGTCACCGGGGGCACACAGATCTGGGCATTCACATATCCTGACTGATTATCTTACCTAATCACCCACCTGATACAATCCAGGGTCTAACTTTGTCTTAAATGCTTTGGGTCATATCACACTTACCACAGAGCTTTTCAATATCTAGTCAAGACCATTTAAAGGGGGCAGGGCTCAGAGTCTGGATATCATATATAGAAAATTCTCTCATTCATAACTTCATTCCTTTCTTTGTCTTACTAGTCTCTATAGCCAGTAATTTCTGCCCTGCACCAGTCAGTGCTCAGAAGATATAAGCAACAGTAGCCATAGAAGATATAAGCAACAGTAGACAACTGGGTGTATGCAAAATCCTCTTTCAAAGCAAATAAAGATGATATGAAACCCAACACCACATGAGATCTCTTCATAAATGTCACCAGAACAATGGTTACACATAGAGTGCTATTAAAAAAGAAAAAAAAGCATTCAGCTACACCAGACATGGTACCCAATTCTGCCTTCTTAAAGGCCCTTGAACTTGGGCCCTTTTAAGGAGCTGCTGATCAAAATAGCATCTTTTGTCTAAAGAACAGAATAAACGAAATTTCTCAATGCACATCTGGGCATTAGCCTTCATATTAAATGGGCATCTCATCGCATTATGAAAAATTGAATTGGGGCACTATCACTATCAAAAATTCTACTCTATCTAATGGGCATGTAGTTCCAAAAATAACAACAAATGTGTAATTGTTCATAATGATCATTACAGCTATTCACATTTATGTAGTATTTTACAGTTTGCAGAACACTTTGAATATACTATTTCATTTAAGCTTTACAACAACCACGTGAAACAAGTGCTGTTATACCATTTTACAGATGAAGAAATCTGAGGCTAAGTGAATTGTCAAGGGTCACACAGTTAGTAAGGTATCTAAGGTACGATTTGAACTCCAAGCACCAACACTTTAGCCATTACACCATGCAGCTTATCAAACATATGGCAGCCTCAATACTCCAAGACATCCCAAAAGCCTGAAGTTTAGTCACAGAAATGATATTCCAGAACAAAAATATCCTGAAACAGTGATTTAAAAAAAATTCAAAATGAAAGTCTAAAGAGAGTAAATTTATAAAATGGGACACCCCTAACAAGGAAGACACTTTCTTTGGCATACGATGGGGACTCTTCTTACTCCTCAAGAGAGTGAGGTTGATGACTTGTGCAGTTCTGCCTCACTTAAGTCCAATTCATACTCATGTCAAGCCATCACCCTGATGATGTCATTGGTCCTCTTCAAGAACGAGGGACGAACAACAACAACAATCCCTGCTCCTTCAGAAGGGGATGAATTAAGCTTCCTCTGCTACAAGGGAAAAAGGAATGCCTTATCCCTATCTGGAATTATTCTCTATAACCTGGCAAGCAGAAACAGGTAATATTCTCTTAGCAAAAGATATTGCTCAACTCGAAGTTAATAATTTTCTTCCTTTTCTTATAACCTGAATCTTTCCCTGATTTAAAATAACCACAGATCCTTTACTGAGAAGATAAACAAGCACATGTGGCTTTCTTTCATTCCAGCTCTAAATGAGAAACACTGTTGGAAATTATCCTTCTGAGATTGAAAACACAGGTGCCTTCCTTGCAGTCTAAAGAAATGTTGAAAAAAATAAAAAAATTTAAAAAAGAAATGCTGATTTTCACTTTGTTCAAATCTGCCTAATTTTAAAAATCTTCCAACTCTGACACTACCTGTGTAAACACCTAGAGAAGCTGAATAAGGCCTGCAGAAGCAGTTCCTGCCATATTTGTAGCTCAGACTCCAAGGGATCATCTATGCCACAGATCTTCTCTTTAATTACAGAGATATGCAGAAGATGAATCTTTTGTGAGAATGCATTGAAAGTACTTTTAGCTGTAGCATCCGCAGAAGAAAACAAAACAAAGCAAAACATGAGCAGCCCTTAGATTTTAAATGAGTAATGCAGCAAACTCTAAGCTGTAAAAGTTATAACTGGTACAAGCAATGGAAGATGTAATGTCTAAGGGCAGAAATTAATATTATGGATGAACTGACCTGTGTACCTTTTTAAATTCAAAAAGGAATACCACAAAGAGGATTGGGCCAATTTAACTTCAGGTTCCTGTTGTGCATTTTTTTTTCCTCTTTATCTCAATTTGATTCTATTTTCTATAATCCCTTCAAAACTGCCATCCAGTTTCAGACTATCCAACCTCTGGCATTGTGCTGCTAACTAGAATCTTGGATTGGAACCTCCACAGATCTGATAACAATTGCTTTCAAATTGACATGGATCAGGAAAAGCTTCATCTTCAAAGCTCAGGCAGAATCTAATAGCCAGCCTCCAGTCCTTCCTTGGGGCCAGAAGGGTGGCAGACCCTGCTGAGAGTCATTCCATCCTTTAGAGAATTCACACCAGTCACAGGAAACAGCCAGGGGATGATGACATCATCTCAGCTAATAGGGTTCTGAGAGTGGAGAACAGCCACAGCAGCAAGGGAAGAGAAAACTGCTGGGCTTCTCTTTTCTATTTTTAACATCAATTATTTAACTTTTAAAAATAAGTCACATGCCGCACGATTCAAAGGCATTACAGGTAATCACTGGTAACTAAAAATACTCTTTCTGCTCCTCATCATTAGAACCCAGTCCCTTTAGTCACAACTGGCACAACGCACTGAGAAGGCAAATTCCCTGATCTTCCCTCATCTTCCTATCTAGAGCCTGTCTGACACACACTGACTACCGGAACCAGAATCCAAAGAGTCATTTTTGGAAATCATTCACATTCATCTTTCTCTAGAATATTTACCCCACATATTTTTTTATTCTGATTTTTAAAAAATGTTTTTTTTCTTTTATATCTAATAATGTACCATCATTAGGATTTTTTAAAAAGCCTGTCTACTTGAATGATTAATTTATTTAACTCCACCAATCCCAGAAATATAGCAGTCTTGAACTGTCACATATATTAAACTAATCCTTCCCCCAAAAGTCTCTTTCTAGCATTTTTCTGGCAGTCAAACAGACCATCACTGGCCCTGCTTCATCTTCCTTCCCCACCTCCCTTCCCCTGACTTACGGTGGGCTGTTTTGCTCTGGTCGCTTTGGACACTGTCCGCTGACTGGTTGCTGGAGGCAGAAGAGATGCTGGAGCTCCTGACGAAACCAAACGCGGCCAGTTTAGCTGCTGGGAGACGGGAATACCCAGGAGGGCGAAGTCCAGATTTGGGGAGGTTGGCTCTTGCGACGTTTGAACCGGAGGCTTTCTTCAAATCAGCTAAGAAGGGCAAACAGAATAAGTGTCTTGCTTAACAGGATAAGCCAGGGAACCCCATAAGTTGTAAACTGCATAAACCATAGTTTGAACTATCTTTAAAGATTTAAAGCTGGAAGGTGACTCAGAGGTGATCCAATTCATTTTAATTTAATCCTCTGTCATTTCACCAATGAGAAAACTGAGGCCACAATGGTGAAGGTGACTTGTCCAAGGTCACACAGATAACAAAGAGCAAAACTCAATTCTTATAACCCTAAATTAAGCAATCTTTCCACTATCCTGAGCTGTTTCTCAAAAGTACTCAAAAGTACTGTTTTGTCCTGTTTTGTTTCTTGTTTTTTGCTAGGCAATGGGGTTGAGTGACTTGCCCAGGGTCACACAGCTAGTAAATGTCAAGTGTCTGAGGCTGGATTTGAATTCAGGTCCTCCTGACTCCAGGGCTGGTGCTCTATCCACTGAGCCACCTAGCTGCACCCCCTATCTCCTGTTTTAACTTTACAGAACAAAGGTTTCAAGCAGTTCAGGTTAGACATAGCAGGCATGGTACATGCATCATGAATTCACAAATGCTTGGAACCAAATCATTATCAGACTCACAGAAGACAGGCTCACAGGATGGCTTTCAGGAATATCTGTTTGGCTCCTTCCTTTATTTGTTTCTGCTCTAATCTTTGAAACCATCTTGAAATCACATGAAAGCCCATTTATTCCAAAATATTAACATTCAGATACAAAAAGTCATGCCTCAGCATTTCCAGCCTCTACTTCAGGCCCCATGAATGAATGGACACTGAGAATTGAGTCAGGACTCATTGCAAGGGGATCACTACAAGAAAAGAATCTGAAAAGTTTTTGATAAACTAATATTCCATTCTATGAAACTTAAAAAGCCCAATCTTGTGTCATGCTCGTTAATCTGACCTAATGCTGGAGAACCCAAAACCATCCAGTTAGGAAATTCAATAATATTGTTCTCAGAGTATTCAGCGCTAGGTCTCTGCATAGACAGTTATCATTTGGTATTCATTTTTGAGTCTATATACAATCATCTAGTCCAGTTATGAAGAAATCAAGCACAAGGATTTCTCATAGAACAACCCGTCCAAAATTGGTGAGGAAGAAAAAACTACAGTTATTGGGGACACAAATGTATTCAAATATCATTAGGCCATACAAGTCTCAGGATACTGAGTGACTGTCCTTATGCACAGGTCTGACCATGTCATGACCTTATTCAATAAACATCAGTGGTTCTATTGGTTCTAGAATAAAACCTACAGTCCTCTTTGTGCCATTTAAAATCCTTCATGACCATATTTGCAGACTCACCATACATTATGTCCCCTTCCCACATGTTATAAACCAGCCACACTGGTTTTCTTACTATTATTTACACACAAAATTCCATCTCTTGCCTCCATCTCTCTTCCCTGGCCATCCCCCATGCCATGCTTGGAATGTACCGCCTCCTCACTGTTCTATCTAAGAATGCCTTACTTCCTTCACTATTCAACTCAAACTACCCCTTCTACAGGAAGTCTTTCTTGATCTTCCCTAGCTGCTAAGTATCTTCTCAAAATGGCCTTGTATTTATTTTATGTATATGTGTGTATACATGCATATATAGTCATACACATTGTTTATGTATAAACCTGTGTATTATATATATACATAAACATATATAATATATATTATACATAAACATATGTTATACATGTTTGTACATAGTTCTTCAGTCATTTTTCAGTTATGTCCGACTCTTTGTGATCCCATCTGGGATTTTCTTGGCAAAGATACTGAAGAGTTTACCATTCCTTCTTCAATCTATTTTACAGATGAGGAAACTAAGGCAGACAGGGTTAAGTGACTTGCCCAGGGTCACACAGCTAGTAAGTATCTGAAGCTGGATTTAAACTGAAGAAGATAAGTCTTCCTAACTCTAGGCCTGGTGCTCTATCCACTTTGCCACCCAGCTGCCCCATTTTTGTACACAAACATATATCACATACGCTTTAAACATATACAACACACATACTTATTTATAGAAAATGTATGTGTGTATGCAAGCTCCCTGAAGGCAGGAACTGTTGCATTTTTGTACCCTCAGTGCTTAGCATATGGTGGGAGCTTAGTAAATGCTTATTACTTGTTCAATTGACTCCTTTTTTCATTTCACTAGCCTTTCCATGCTCGTCTTCTTCTCCATACATAAAATGAGTTGTCATTCAGCCAGTTCAGTGGAATAAGTGGAAGCCAGACAATAGAACAGCAAAGAATCTTAGAGCTGGAATGTTTAAAAATCTTAAACATCATTTAATCCAAGCTATTCATTTTACCACTGAAGAAACCAAGGCTCAGTGAAATGAAAGGACTTACTCACAGTACAATAGTTGGTTTACTTAAGTAGTGACAGAGTTAAACTCTTCATGCCCTCAGTAACTCTCTAAGACTTGAAGTTGCAGAGCAGTTACTGACCTGCATTGGTAGATGGGTTTTCCTCATTGGAAATCTATACCAATGAAATTATCAACTGATTCAGCCCAGAAAACAAACCATGATACCTATAATTCTTATTGTCTTTCTTTAGGCTTGCTCTGTATGTTGCTGTTCAGACATTTCAATTGTGTCTGACTCTTCATGACTCTATTGAGGGGGTTTTCTTGGCAAAGATATTGGATTAGTTTGCCATTTTCCTCTCCAGTCCATTTTACAGATGAAGAAACTGAGGCAAACAAGGCTAAGTGACTTTCCCACAGTTACACAGTTAGTAAGGTCAAATTTGAACTCAGGTCTTCCTGACTACCAGGTTTGGTACTCTATCTACTACGCCACCTAGCTATCCCTTACCCTGTATACTTTTACACAAATCTAGATATCTTTCATTAATCTCTAGGATACAATCATGGCTTAGACGGCTGAATGGTGTGTAAAAAATCCACTCCTTTCTGCACAGAGAACAAACCGGATGACACCAGACATCTCACTCCATTCTCTGATTTTGTGAAATGTTTAGGTTTACCCATTCCTAGTTATCTAAAGGATTTGAAGTTATTCAAGTCTCTAAAATTTAAAAATATCTTACAGAAGTTCTCACAAAATGGGGCTCTTTGAAAATAATTTTGGTCATAATGATTTCCCAGAGAGAACCAGAGGAGGAATAGCCCTTCCCTTAAAATAGTCAAAATTTTGATTACTCAGGAATGCAATTCTGTATGAGTCTGGAAACACATACACAGCTCTACCCTTGGAAATGGTGAAAAGTGCTGTGTATGGTCCATTTCAATCTTATAACATAGCACAGTTTAGGGAGAGATGAGAAGTCTCTTACAACACTCCCTCTCATATCCCCTGGCCATCTCCACCTCATCTATTTCACTCAGATTCAGTTTGGAAGGATTTTGAGAAAACCATTAAGTGTCAGATACTGAACTTGGTTCTTCATTGTGTCTTTTTCCAAAACCTGCTTGTAACCTGCTAGGTAAAATAAACGATTTATGCAACAGATCAAAGACCTTTCCCAATGAATAATTCTGTCATTGTCCATTTAAGAGGAAATTAATGAAAATAAATAATAGGTTTTTTTTAAATTAGCTTTTTCTGTATGAGCTATTCAAATCCTATGCAAAGCAGCACTCTATCTTCTTCGATAAGGCATTACATTTTGACAAGATTTTATGGGAATAAAAGATTAACAGCTCTGTTTGAACTGAAAAACTGATTTTAGTGTCATTGAAAATGTGAAAGATGCTTTGCTATTTCAAAGGGAAACCATTTTGTCCTTTTGAAAAATAAATCTTTTGAAGAAAGGAAATTGGCAAATTCCTCCAAAACTTCAAGAGCTGTTTCTGTTGTGCCTTTTTTTCCTTTTGTTGATCTTGCTTTAAATGTGACACTGTAAATGCTACAGGATGGTTCCTCAGAATGCCAATCAGAATGAGCCAGTGTTTTAAACTTTGAATTAACTGATACTCATGAGACAGAAGCTGTCATGGTGCAACATTTTTTTTCAAGCTATAGGTAATAAAATAAAAGAATCAAGTACTTGAAAGGCAATTATGTTCAGAGCAATCTAGTAAATCATATCCTCTCTGGATAGGGGAGTACAAGAAGAGGAGAGGATGAGAATGAGTAAAGATCTTTCAGACTCTTTTTTTTTCTATAATTTTATGTCAGAAAAAAATTTGCTTCTTTCAGATTTTTTTACATACCATGAGTATACACACCTCACATAAACTTATTCTTTTAAGGAGCTAAGTGGTGCACTGGATAGAACACTGGACTTGGAAAACACGAAATCAGGTCCAGGAAAACCTGAGTTCAAATCCAGCCTCAAACACTAACTAGCTTACCCCAGGCAAATCATCTATCATCTGCTTGTTTTGGTTTTCCCATCTGTAAAATGGGGTTAATAGTAATACCGCCTCCTATGGTTGTTGAGGATCAAGTAAGAGAATATTTATAAAGTGCTTAGCAAATCTTAAAGTGCTATAATAAAAGTTAGCTATTGCAATTATAATTATTTGTTGATATGATATACATGATATGATATGATATAATATAACATAATATGATATTATATAATGTAATATAATATACTATAATTAATATAATATGATATAATTTCCCTCCAAAGTATCTTCTGACAGTAGGTAGTTGGGTGGCTCATGTGGATGAGTGGCTATTCTTTCTTGTCTTGTCTTGAAACATTTAAAAAGAAAAACATATATATATATGTATGTACATACACACACTATCTATATATATCAAATCTCTATTAACCAAAGAGACATTACCTACAATATTTCAGTGTAGCAAACAGAATCTGTGCTCTGAAATAGAACCCAGAACAAGACTTTTTTTTTCCTGTTACAAATTTGTTGTTATTCAATTGTTTCAGCTGTATCCAACTTTTTGTCACCCCATTTAGGGTTTTCTTGGCACAGATTCTGAAATGGATTGCCATTTCATTTTCGAGCCCATTTTATAGATGAGGAAACAGG